TTAGGGTTTAGGGTTCTTTTGAAGGGGCCTAGACCCTGAACCCTTATGCCGGGCAGACGTAAGAGAGTCGAAGGGGGGGGATGTTAGGCTTTATAGGGGTTGAAGGAATGGGGGTCTAGGACTTGGGTGCTCTCTTCTTTGGGGGGGGGGGGGGGGNNGAATTGTAGCGGCCTAGAGGGTTTACCTTCGTTTTTGCCTGGTACCAGTTTGGAGTTTAGGGTCCAGGGTTTGTCGTTTCTAACTTTACCGGGTTTTGCGACAGGCCTTGGCCTTCTACTCTAACAGGTTATGTGTTCGAGTAGACGCGGTATGGGACTGAAGGAATACGCCGTGACTAATTCTTCAGACCGTTCTGGTGCGCAAAAGATCGGGGGACTTGGTAAGTATGTGTTGGGGTTTACAAGGTTTTTGGGGTTGACGTGATTTGGTTCTGCTGGAGGGATCGGGGACCTAGTGGGTAGGGTTAGAATGAGGGTAGCTATGCTTGTAGCTGCTTACAATCTTAGTTAGAGTACTTGTACACACGCTCTAGGGTCTTGGAAGCCATGGGAAAGCCATGAGCCCCGTATGCTATCCGAAATCCCCGACCCTGTTAGCCTGACAGGCACCAATTTACAAACTCGCTGTTCTTCCGGCCCAAGTTCTAAACCCCTGAAATGAACGGTTTAGGGTTTAGGGTTTAGTGGGTTTAGGGTTTAGCTTGAAATGTTTTCAACCTCTGGTCCAAGCTTTGCCTTACGGATGCAGGCCGGTGTCGAACTGGATGCATCGAAGCAGCCGAGAGGTTCGTGCGCTGGTGAACATGCTGCTTTCAATGGTCCTGACGCTGGGACTTCAGGGTTTCTGAAAGGTTCCTGGGGTAGGGTTTAGGGTTGTGATGTTTTCCGGCTTTTTCTCTGTATGCAGGTTTATGAGATGTATAAGGCACAAGTCCAGTGTTGTTGAGGATGATCTTCCCGAACTTCTGAGGGGCGTGTTCTTCTTGCACGTGCTCACGTGCCTGTGGTTCTTCGTGCGCCGCTTGGCCGGATTCGCTTTCGGATGTCATGTAGCCCTGTCGACGCATACTGCCTCTCTCGCGCAGGCAGCGACAGGGAGAGCCTGGAGGGCCTCTCAGTGCAGGCAGGGGCCCTTGCAGGTGTCTTGATCCCCAAGCCCCGCAGCGAGCATCTGCAGCTCCGCGTGCTTACAGGAGCAGTACCGGATCACCTTGGAAACGGCCATGGGCCGCCTTCACCCAGCCCCTCGCCCTTTGTTGTTGGTGGGGGTTGCGCGAGGATCGAGCCAAGTGCACGGACGAGTGTCCCGAGGGTTCAGCGTGATTCAAAGGTGCGGACTGCTGAGAACATGCTGCTCCCCACGCAGGTCGAAAGGCACGGGAGACTTCTGGGGAGGTTAGGAGGGTGTCCAGTGATTGTGACAATTGTAACGCAATCCACGTCTAGGCCTAAGTTTTCTCAGCACATCGGCCAACCGAGCATCGGAGCGGTTTTCGCAGAATCGGCGACGGCAATGACTTCAAAGCACAGGTGGAGATGCCACACGCCGCACCCGGCAAAAACACTGCAACAAGAAGCAACGCCCAGAATGACCCTTCCCCCTCCCTCACTACCTTTGCAGGGTGGTCGCACTCTTGGCCTCTGGATCAGCGTGCCTCGGTGGAAGGATATATTCACCGAAGCTTGGGAATCGAAAAGATCGGAGGCTTGCTATGGAGTTTTCAAGGCCTCGAGTTCTCCGTTGGCCTGCATGGATGTCGCGTAGGAGTTTTCGGAGGGAGTTTTGTGGGCTTCGGTTCCTTCCAAGAACAGCAGGGGAGTTCTGTTCTTCTGCTTGAAAAAGAAGCTTTGAATATCTGCCAGCACCAGTCCTTACTTCTAAGCCCCAAATCTTGCTCTTAGATGTTCTCAGGGATTCTCTGAAGGCGCCGAAATTGCATCGGCGCCCCAGCCGCATCCGCCCCACTTAATGCGTCTCCTTCTGTCAGCGGTTTCTTTTGGCTACTTATGAGGAGAAGGTAGCCAGACAACCAACTACCCTGTGGGAGTGTCAACAAAACAAGCGGCCCCAGCGCAGACCCTGAAGCCCTAAACGATATCCCTATGCCTGTACCACAAGGCCCCGGCCCCCCGCTTCTGAAACCAGGCTACTTTTCGGCTCCATGTTCGCTTCCCTCGTCACCAACGACTTGGCGGACTGCCTTTGCGTTCTGAGCTTGTGAGCCGTCCGCAGGCCTTCTTGGAGGCAAGTCTTTAGCCCTTGCTGCATGCTTGCGGCAGTATCATGCAGGGAGGATGGGGGTGGGAGACGCGAGACGCCGGGGGCAGGACGTCCGGCGCGTCCGGCGCATGCAGAAGGAGACGGCGGCATGACTGCATGGGTCCTGGAAGCTGGTCAGGTACACCACTACAGACCCTAAACCCTAAACCCTAAATCCTAAACCTTAAAGCCCCAAATATCACTAAGCCCTAAACCCTAAACCCAGGCTCTATTCGGTTCCGGCTACTCCAGGACCTCTTCTCTGTCTCTCCTCTGCTTGTTCAGGTCCACCAGGTCTCCGACTATTTGAGCATCTTCCCCATCCCCTGGGATCTGGAGAAGCAGTGCAAGGAGCCCCTTTTTCCTTCGCTCGAAAAGAGGGGAGGGAGGTTTGTGAGTCGGTTTTGCTTTGCACTCTTGGGTTCGCAGAATTTTGGTATCGTTTTTGTCTCGACTTTTCGTGTCGAGCTGCAGCATAGAAAGCCCAGCAAAAAAAGGCGGAAGCTCACAGAAACTCAGACTTTGGTATGGCTTAGGAGCTTTCGGCCTTGTTCTTTCTGACTGTCGGCCGCCGCGCTTCGAGGACTTTCTCCGGTCGAAGATGGCCAGCGAGGCTCCTCCTTGCAAGGTGCAACAGCCGCCAAGTTTACCCCAAACCCTATCTAAGGGGTTTGGGGGTTTAGGGTTTAGGGTTTAGGGTTTACTTCACCCTAAACCCTAAAAGCCCTAAACCCTAAACCCTAAACCCTAAAAATCCTAAAGCTCTAAACCCGAAAAGCGGGTTTCGGTCCGGTGTACCCTGGGCCTGCGCGCTTTTGGAGGCACAAACTTGACTGAACCACCTGTTTAGACCCTAAACCCCAACTTGACCCCAACACCCCCCCGACCTGAACAAAGGAGCAAAGGATCCTGGGGAGATTTCAGGAAGCACCTCCCGGGGTTTCACAGAACCCCGAATGCGAGGCTCAGGAGTACGGAGTAAGTGTTGCACACTGATCCCGAAGGCGGAGATTGCCCAGCTCTTGCCGGAATTCTTGCGCCCGGCTGGCACTTGCTGGGAGTTCCTTCGGAGAACTTGACAGCTCCCTGGGTTTATAGGTCTCGGGGTTTAGGGTATTGAGTTCGTGCGAACTTGCTTTCAGTCTCGTTTTGCATCGCGGTGCAAACACAAGGACGACGGCCTCACCTTGCGTATCCATAAGCAACACATCCAATACGCACAATGGGTCCCTGAGTGCGGCAGTGTTGAGATGCTAGCTGTTCCTTAGTAGCTGAGTAGGCAACCTTTAACCTTTTTAACCTTTTTTGGACTAGGGTACTCAGCCCCTAAGTGTAGCTTGATGTCGGAGCGTGGTGCTGTAGTAGAATCAGGATTTGGGATTCAGTGCCTTCAGATGCTTGCACTCCCTTGTGCCAAACTGCTGCGCAGCCCCATCCCTAAACCCTAAACCCTAAACCCCAAACCCTAAACCCTAACAGAGAGGTACCATGAAGTTTGCTGCGAAGCTCTGACGCCAGTCGTCGCCAAACACGACTTTTTCACGGGATTGTGCCGCTTGGATGAAGACAAAAACCCCAAATCCCCAAACATCCCTAGAGATCCCTACGTTCTACAGCCGCTATGAGGCCCTAGAAGCCCCTAAACCCTAAACCCTAAACCCTAAACCCTAAACCCCAAACTAAACCCTAAACCCTAAGCCCACAACCCCCTAGAATCCCCCTAAAAGCTCAGCTTTCGGGGGGTCTGGTCCGAGGTTCGAGCCATGAAGCGTTTCGGCACGATCTCTGTGTTCGTGGACTGCAAGACTGGCAGCTTGGCCCCTGGAAAAACGAGGGCAAGAAGGAGAGAAAGCCTCCAGCTTTGGGCTTCTTCATTTCGGGGACCTTTGGGGACCTTTTTGGGAGGTTATATGTGTGTGTGTGTGTTTCTTTTAGGTTTTTGTGTTTTTCTCTTTTTTTTTTCCGGGTTTGGGGGATTTGTCGAGCTCTGGTAGGTTGCACTCCTTGCCCATTCTGCCGCCTGCTGCTGCTTCGGTCGTTGGTCTTCTGGATGCCGGAGAAACAGAATCGTGCACCCATTGTAGCGCCTCGCTCCTCTCAAAGCCTCCGAGAGCGGTTCAACGTCGATTCCCGGAACCCCCAAGAACCCTAAAACCTGATTCCCTGACAAGGGAGCACGACAACCCCAGCACACCCTTCCAGCACACCCTTCTTCCGTAAGGAACGTGGAGCCTCACGAGGACGGGGCTTCTATGATGGTTTGGAGGGAAGGGTGTTGGGTCTGAATAATTAATTAACCATCATGCATTGTATTCCTTGCTAGCCGCCAGAAGTCGTTGCAGTAAAACGTACCCAAAAAACTTATTCTTCCAAGTTGCTCAAGCACTCTCTTGGCCCTTCGGAAGGACTCCTTCCTCACTTGGCTTCAGTACGGTTCAGGGGCTTAGGATTCAGGGGTGTTGGGTCTACCTTAAGGTGTTGCTCTCTGGGACAGCGAGTTGAGTTTTCAGTGGCTTTTTGAAGCCTTCGACGCCTTACCCACAGGAAAACGCCCTAAAGCCAAAACCACAGCTCCTAAACCCTGACTCTTCCCCCAAGCCCTAGCCCCTAAACCCTAAACCCCCAAACCCTAAACCCTCCTCCACCGCACTTTTAAAAAGAAAACCTCCTTAAGCCCCAATCCTGCTTTCCGGTGGAGGTGCTGTGTTCCGCGGGGCTGAAGTGTCCGAGCATGCTCTTCGTTGCGCACGGCTGCTCGGAGCACTGCTGGTGGTACGGCCGATGACATAAATCCTGCATTACCCATGGCTTCACTATACGGGATTTCTATGGGATATCCCCATCCTAATATGTTTGCTTATGTGCCTTCTTTGGGGGCCCTATTGAAACCCTAAACCCCTATAAGCCCTAATAACCCTAAAAACCATGAACAAGCCTTAAAGCCCTAAAACCCTAGACACCCTAAAAACCCTAAACCCTCAAAACCCTCAAAACCCTCAAAACCCTAAACCCTCAAAGCCCCAAAAACCCCAAAAGGCCCAAAAACCCTAAACGCCCCAAAAGCCCTAAAACACCTAAGAAAGCCCCTGTTTGAGGTTGCGTCCTCTACGGCCAGGGCTTCGGCCGCCAGCGGTCTTTCACCGTCGTCACCACCTCGGCCGTCTGGGCCTTGGTAGATGCAGAATGTGAGGTTGAAGCCATGGGCCCTTAACCTTGGGTTTAGGGTTTCGCGTTTAGGGTTTGGGGTTTAGGGTGAGAATCTAAGGTTGAAACCATTGGATCCATATACACCTGCTATATACCCTATCTGTGCCTCTAAGGGTCCCGAGAGGATGCGGAAGCGCTCGAGTTTTGAGTTTGGGGTTTTGGGGGTTTTAGGGGTTTTTAGAGGGTTTTAAGGGTTTAGGGGATTTTTTGGGGGGGTCTAGGGGGGTTTAGGGGTTTTGGGTTTAGGGGTTTGGGTTTTTGGGTTTAGGGTTTAGGGTTGAGGGTTTAGGGATGCTACCCTCCAGAGCCGTTAAAGCTATAGCTAGGGCGCCCTCAAGCCCTCCTTGAAGCTTCGTGGGTAATCAGTTACATGTGTGGGTGGCAACAAGTGACTGAGTTGGGCTTTTTAGGGTTTAGGGTTTTGGGGTTTTGGGGTTTTGGGGTTTTGGGGTTTAGGGTTTAGGCCTCAATAGGGCCCTCAAAGAAGACACACAAGCAACCATACTAGGATAGGGATATCCTCAGTGTAGTTATCTTCACTACGGACTTACTCAGCTTTTCTGGGACCTAAACCCTAAATCCTAAACCCAAAAACCCTAAATCCCTAACCCCCTGCACTTACTCAGCTTTTCTGGGACCTAGAGAAGCAAAACAGGCCAGCAGCCGGGTCGAGCCTTTGATGGTCGTCGCCAGGCTGCATCGAGGGCTTCAGGGTGTAGGGCTCACAGGAATTCGGGGTCCTGCGGTTTTAGGATTTTTTGATGTTTTGGGGTGTAGGATTGGGGTTTAGGGTTTAGGCTTTGGGATTCAGGATTAGACTGCCAGACCCTTCGACTTCAGCTGCGCGCCAAGGCTCGATTGCAGGCCCAGTCTGAGGCGTCTCTGTCCGCAGAGTCCCCAAGCTAAGGGCGATACACGAGATGGGAACAACAATATCCAGTTCCTGCACCTCTGCGGCAGTTTTTGGGATAATCCTAAGCCTGGAACTCCCCACCCTGAACCCCAAGACCCCATACGTCCTCAACCCTGAACCCCAAAATCTCAGCCTAAAGCCCCCGAAATCTTAGACCCTAAGCCCGCAACTCCTGTGGCCCCATGGTCCCAACCGACCTGGCCGTGCCAGGAGCTGATACTTTTGATGATATAAATCCTGCATTGCCTTAAGGACCCATGGCAATGGGAATTATGGTGGATTCCCTATTATGGGTAATGTAGGATTTATATCATCAACCGTAGTGCAGGCCCCTCATTCATCAATTCCCTCCCCTAATGAGGACTAAAGCCCTTACAGTGAGGGGTTTCTTAATTTGGGTTCTTGTTAAGGGATTTAGTTTAAGTTGCCATAATAGGGATCTACAGTAAACAAATATGGTTTCCTTATTATAGTCATCCCTTAACAAGAACCCAGTAATCGCTGATTCATAAGATCCCTTTCTGCAAGGGCCTTGATGCTAGGATGCCTCCTATCATTCCTCTTACGGTAGGTGGTTTTGGTCTCTATTGCTGAATGTTACCCTTATAACCGTGAGGTTGAATTTTGAATCGTAGTATCATCCTTTACAGTCTGTTTCGAACCCCAAAAACTTCTGTTCCTCTGTTTCAAATGAGGCTTGCAGTCAAGCTTTTTCTACGAGGGATTCAGAAGGCTTCGATAGAGGTTCTCTACAGATTCGACGAGGGGTTTATGAAGCTGCGTTGAGGTCATTTGCGTTCATTTAGGTGTGTATTAGGGGGCTCTAGATATGGTCATGTAAGGGTTCTACAGCGGGTCTATGAGAGTGGGTTCCAAACGGGCTTTTATGAGGTGTCTGTGAGGGTGGATTTAGGGATTGGGTTTACTTAGAGGATCAGGGGCCTAGCGATTTGCGGTATACTTAGCTCTTGTAAAAGGAGCTTAAAAACCCTAAACCCTAAACCCTAAACCCCACTTATAGTGCGAATGAATGTACGCATAACCACACGTCCGTGAAGTCTGGGAAGCTCATCTACACACCTCTTTCAAACCCGTAAGTCTTCTAACAAGAGACCGATCAGCACACACAAACCCGTGGACCCTAAAGGCACAACCTTAAACCCTAAAACCCCAAGCC